AGTACGTGGACAGCTTGGTAGTTTGTGTTTTCCAGCGTTAAAGTCATTCTCTATGTGCGTGAATGAGATGTAAGTCAATTCAAATGAAGCTAACGACAATAGCTGCTTCTAAATGTTCTGATCTATGTTTTAATGTCGTTTCCTCATCACAAACAGACCTGGAGTTGTGTTTTGTTTCATTCACACATGTTTAACACGCAAACCCTGTTCTTCTGTCAAAAGAAAAACATTCTGGTCCACCTTGTGATGTCATGTGGTAATAGAGGAAGTGCATTACGGTGACCAGATTTTCACAATAAAAAAATAAAAATCAAAACTGGGACATCCCCATTTTTTTTGATAGTTAGTAATAATAAAACAGCAAAACAAGTGCAGTTAATTAAAACTATTCTGAACTCGTCCCATTCATGACAAAGTGTGAGTCAGTATCTTCACATTTTCTTCGAGTTTTGGTCATTTTTAAGCAGCTTTTTGTATGGAGGATTTTTTTTAAGTTTCAAATTGTCAGTGAAAGTTTAAAATACCATTACAAAGACGCAGCAGCCTTGTAATTATGATGACCAAAAAAAAAAAAAAAAGAATGAAAATCTATCAACTGTGGACATAGTGAGGCCAGATAAACATCAGCCAATAGAAAACAAGGCTCCCTCATTTTCTATTGGCTGTTAGGTTGTCAATCAAACTCCCTACGTTTCTAGTGTAACTGACTCATCGGTGTGCAGGGATTATGTGGTTTATGCAGCGGTTCTTAGAGGCTTTTTCAAACTGTAGCTTCCTCGCATTTCGCACAAAGTTTGTTGCGCCGTGGACGAGAATCCACGACCAGTTCGCCACAAAAGGAAGTCGGTTTTTGAGGTCGCTGAAAGAAGAAGAGAAGGGGAAAAGGAGCGAAGACAAACGGAGGTGATTCTTGGAGATTCCTTCCAGCGATGGCGCGAATGAAGCAGACGAAGGGTCTAAAAACTGATGCGTCAGTTGCAAAATTATTTCTAGACGGGTCACTTCAACAGTAATTCTGAACGTGCACTGGATGTAAACAAACATGATTTCTAGAGTAAAGAGGCGGGACGAGATGTTTCTACTGAGGAGCTGTGGAGGAGGATGGTGGCGTCACACATGCACAACATTTGAAAAAGGACTGTTGCTGTATTTCACTTCCCTTAAAAAAATCCTCTGTACAACCTTTAAAACTGGGACTGTCCCGGGGAAATCAAGACATCTGGACACCCTAGACTACATACTGTACATCTTTGCTAGAATCATTTGGCAATTCCAGGGCTGAACTCATGCAAAAGCCTTTTCTGGATTACCCCCCGATGTCATCACGATGTTGAACTGTGCATTTTCAAATGAAACAAAACACAACGTCAAATGCTTTTGGTAGAATTTGTGTTTTAGGAACAAAACTACACCGGGAGTTGACATAAAGGCGAGCGCGATTACAGACTACTTGTTCTGCGTCTTATCTCATGAAAAACACAGTAACAAGCGTCTCCACTCCAAAGTTCTCAAACTCTTTCCTCGCTTCCTTCCTCCTATTCCCCCTCTCCTCGCCTCCTGGCTCCTATCTCCTCTCGAACCTGCTCCTGTCTGCTGCTCGGACCGTGGCTTACTGGACCAGAGAGCATTCCTCAGAGACCACTTAGAAAGACCACGGAGGTATGGAGGAGCAGACAGGAGCAGACAGGAGCAGGCAGGAGCAGACAGGAGCAGACAGGAGCAGGCCCGGCGTTCACAGGGGGGGTAGGGGGTCCAGGAGGAAGGAGAGGGTGGGCTGTCAAGGTCCACTGGTGCTGCGGCTCCACTCGGCTAAAGCCAGAGTTATTTTTGATATTGTACCTTTTTCTATAGATCTCATTTAGGTCACAAAACCCAACAGTTTCTGTGTCATTACGAGCACGTTGTGAGCTGTAAAGTTAAAAAAGTTAAAGTGATGAACAAATGAGTCTGAAATGTAGTTAAAGTTTCATGAGGAACTGAACTGGTCGTATGAAAACCAACTTTGACTTTCTCCCGTTAAAATATTGTTCCTTAACAGAAACATGAACCTGAAGAGGATCTAGAGTCTTCCAGGAGTGTTTGTGTAATTTAGTGATCTCTCTTGGGCCCTATTCAGACCCTCCTCAAGGTTCACTGTATGAGGCCACGGCTCTTGTGCGAGCCTCCGCCCACAAAACAATACATTACAATTTCACAAACCTGATACAATGTGTAGTAGTGTCAGATGCACATAAGGACCTCACAACACACGGGGCCCACACGGGGCCCACACGGGGCCCACACGGGGCCCTTCAGTATCTGCTGTGTTCTGCTCTGATCTGACCTCCTGTTTGTGTTTCAGGGAGAAAAGACCAACAATGGAACACACTACAAACTCCAACTCCTCTACAGCAACGGTGAGTGTGACCTGTACACACACAAACACACACACACACACACACACTACACGCACATGAACATGCACACACACGAACACACAAACACACTACACACACATGCACACACTGACATATGAACACACAAACACACTACAACCTCAAGCTCCTCTACAGCAATGCCAAATGTGACCTGCACACACTACAAACACACACACAAACACAACACACTGCACACACATGAACACACTACAAACTCCAACTCCTCTACAGCAACGGTGAGTGTGACCTGCACACACACACACACACACACACACACAAACAAACAAGTAAACACACACATGAACACACACAGATGAAAGCACACACAGATGAACACACACATGAACGCACACACATGAACACACACACACACATGAACACACACAGCCCTGGTGAGTGTGACCTTCTCTGCCTACACTGTGGAACACTGTTGTCAAGGGAAACCAAATACTTCTACTTTTCAGAGTACTCTTCCAGCAGCATACTTTTACTCCTACTTGAGTAATATTTGTAGTAAGTAACAGTCAGTACTCTTACTCAAAGTTTGATTTAACGACGACATCCACGGTCCTAACCGAGTCAGAAGAGCATCTACGACCTGAGCAAACACATGGTCCAATGGGCGGCTAAAATCATCTAAAGCTGCACTGTGGAACTTTTCTACCTGCTTCTTGTCTCCATGGAGATGTTTCTTTGCCTTCACTGATCATCAAAGCCCCGATAAGAAAAAGGCCTCTCCATTTAAATGACCATATGCTCCGAGTGAACCTAGAGCCCCCGACGGCCCTGCCTCCCCCTCCCCAGACGCTTCCACAACACCCCCCCCCTCCACCTTTCTCTCTCTCTCTCTCTCTCTCTCTCTCCTTCTCACGCTCTCTCTCTCCCCCTTTCTCTCTTCACCTTTCTCTCTCTCTTTTTCTCTCCCTCTCTCTGAACTCTTTCCCTTCCTCTCCCTCTTTCTCCCTCTCACCTCTCTCCACTCTTTTTTTCTCTCTCTCCTCCCTCTCTGCTCTCTCTCTGATCCCTGCTCCCTCTCTCTTCTCTTTCCTCTCGCTCTCCTTCTCTCTCTCTCTCTTTCTTTCCCCCTCTCTCTCCCTCTCTCTGAACTCTTTCCCTTCCTCTCTCTCCCTTCTCTCCCCTTTCTCCTCTCTCTCTGATCCCCGCACCATCCCCCTCTCCCTTTTCTCTCCTCCCTCTCCCCCCTCTCTCTTCTCTCCTCCTTCTCTTCTCTTCTCTTCTCTTCCCTTCTCTTCTCTCTCCTCCCTCTCTGCTCTCTCTCTGATCCCTGCTCCCTCTCTCCTCTCTCTCTCCCCTTTCTCCTCACTCTCTTATTCCCTGCACTGTCCCCCTCCCCTTTTTCTCTCCTCCCTCTCCCCTCTCTCTTTCCCTCCTCTCTCTCTCCTCCTTCTCTTCTCTCTCTTTCTCCTCCCTCTCTCCTCTCTCTCTGATCCCTGCTCCCTCTCTCCCCTCTCTCCCTCTCTCTTCTCTTTCCTCTCGCTCTCCTTTTCTCTCCTCTCTCCCTCTCTCTTCTCTTTCCTCTCGCTCTCCTTTTCTCTCCTCTCTCCCTCTCTCTTCTCTTTCCTCTCGCTCTCCTTTTCTCTCCTCTCTCCCTCTCTCTTCTCTTTCCTCTTGCTGTCCTTCTCTCTCCTCTCTCTCTGTCTCTCTCTCTGATCCCCGCTCCCTCCCCCTCTCCCTTATCTCTCCCTTATCTCTTTCTCTCCCTCTCTCTCCGTCTCTCTCTCTCTTGTGGTACTCCCCTGGTACTCCCGCTGTGCTGCCGTGGCTCTGCACCCATGGGAGGCACATAAAAGACACCCCCCTGTGCTCACCCCTTCCTCGGAGCCCTATCAAAGCTCGTCCCTGTCCTCTTTGAAGAGAGGAAGAGCAGCTCGAGGCCCGTGTCCCCCCCCCCACACACACTCTAAAGAGCAGTACGGAACATTTCCTCTGGATCGTCCAAGGACCGACTGGGACAATGTGGCATCAAACGTCTGTGTGGAGAGAAGCAGGCGACGCCACCGAGATACACTTCTGATCTGTGGAGAGGCGAGCCTGCTCACACCATGTTTATCAGTGCATTCTGAGCACAGTAAGGTGAATGCCACACTGTGGAACATTCCAGAGGAAAACAATAACATCACCATGGAGACAGGCAGGTGGCGGAACTCGAACCTGAAAAGTTACATAGTGCCCTTTTAATGTAGGAGTAGTAGCAGTATTAGTAGTATTAGTGGTAGTAGTATTAGTATTAGTAGTATTAGTAGTAGCAGTAGTAGTAATAGTAGTAGTAGGAGTAGTAGTAGTAGTAGGAATATTATTATTAGTAGTAGTATTAGTAGTAGTAATAGTAGGAGTAGTAGGAGTAGTATTAGTATTAGTATTAGTATTAGTATTATTAGTAGTAGTAGTATTAGTAGTGGTAGTAGTAGTAGTAGTAGTAGTGGTAGTAGTAGTATTAGTAGTATTAGTAGTAGTATTAGTATTAGTATTAGTAGTAGTAGTATTAGTAGTAGTAGTATTAGTATTAGTATTAGTAGTAGTAGTAGTAGTAGTAGTAGTGGTAGCAGTAGTAGCAGTAGCAGTAGTAGTAGTAGTAGTAGTAGTATAGTAGTAGTATTAGTATTATTATTCTTAGTAGTAGTAGTAGTGGTAGCAGTAGTAGCAGTAGTAGTAGTAGTAGTAGTAGTTTGTTTTCTTCAGTCATGTACTTCATCATGTACTTTAATAGACTATGTTATAAACATTTCACATAAAACTATGACCAAAAGAATTTAGGCTCAAGTGAATTCACTTCTGAATGTCCGACCCTTTACACATGAAGATGCCAAGAACACGACTGCAGCAACTTGGACAGCACAGAAAAAACAAACAAACAATAATAATAATTTATAAAAATAAGAACAGTGCTCATGAGTTGAGTGCAGTGGTTCTTTGGAGTAAACTCTATTCTATTTCCTACACCTTCAAAAAACAAAACAAAACTTTTCCCTTCAGAATCATCAACATTTATCCTACACACTGACCTGCCTGTGTGACCACCACAATCTACATTATTACGTCTTGTAGCGCGGCATTGGCAGTGTGGTAAATTGTCCCATAATGCAGTATTCTGCAGTGTGTACATACATACATACACACATACTCTGATGAAAGTACTGGAGCAGAAAGTAGGTTCAGTCCACAGAGACTCACTGCATGACGACTTCAGTCACAGTAGTGTGCTGTTATGACGGGAAGGGCATCTGGTTTAAAACAAAACTGCCGGTCCACTGTCACCACAAAAGGAAGCAGAAAAAAGCTGCTCAGAATAAACCCCGCCCACTCAAAAGAACCAAGGCTAACCACTCTGCCAGAGCCCTCCCTGCTCTGTTGTGAGTGTGCAGAGGGTCACGTGTGAGTGTGCAGAGGGTCAGGTGTGAGTGTGCAGAGGGTCACGTGTGAGTGTGCAGAGGGTCACGTGTGAGTGTGCAGAGGGTCAGGTGTGAGTGTGCAGAGGGTCAGGTGTGAGTGTGCAGAGGGTCACGTGTGAGTGTGCAGAGGGTCAGGTGTGAGTGTGCAGAGGGTCAGGTGTGAGTGTGCAGAGGGTCAGGCGTGAGTGTGCAGAGGGTCAGGCGTGAGTGTGCAGAGGGTCAGGCGTGAGTGTGCAGAGGGTCAGGCGTGAGTGTGCAGAGGGTCACGTGTGAGTGTGCAGAGGGTCAGGTGTGAGTGTGCAGAGGGTCACGTGTGAGTGTGCAGAGGGTCAGGTGTGAGTGTGCAGAGGGTCACGTGTGAGTGTGCAGAGGGTCACGTGTGAGTGTGCAGAGGGTCACACGTCATTAAACCATCACACTCACACGAGAGCACATCTGCTCCTGCCAGCCCCTGCCTATGCACCTGCCGACAGGGACAGGACAGGAGTAACATGCATCAGGGACTTGACCCATTCATTTTCTCTGCACAGCAAAAATCCAAGTTGTTTTTAACAGAAAAACGTGTAATTTTAACTATTTGAATGTTAAATGGGGGGTGGAGTTGGGCTTATTTGTCAGAGTTGATCTGGTTGAAGTTAATTCAACTTCCACTAGTGTTAATTTGGCATTTATACATAATTTCATCTTAAATTAACTCAAATAAAGTGTAAAAATAAAACACCTCTTTATGTTGTTTAGCTAAATCAGGATAACTCTACAAAGTGTTGTCTGTTTACGCTCAAAACATTCATATAACTCTTGATTTTGGGGTTAAACAGGAACTTTGGTCCAGTGTGACTTAAGGAACATTTCCAAAAAATGTTAAATTCACTCTAGAACAGATGGGACTCAAATAAACCCTGAGAAAATGTTCACGTTGATTCTGTAAGAGTCAATTTGAACATTTCACTTTTTGCTGTGTGGGTGAAAGCTGCATTTGACCCGTCCTTCAGTGTGTCTGGGTTAAACGTGTCGGGGCAGTGGGACACATCTCCAGATCTTGTGCTCGTCTTGGCCAGGATTACCTCAGATCTACTGTGCACGACACCCACCCAGACTCAGGGAGAACACGCAAACTTGGGAGTGGAACCCAGAACCTTGTCGCTGTGAGGCGAGGGTGCCAGCCTGAGCCTCTGTGGCACAGGGCGGAGGAGCACACGGTGTGGGTGGGGGCAGTCCTGATCAGAGGGCAGCGCGTGAGAACCGTCTGGGAGCAAACATCACAAACATCATGATCCAAAAAGTCCCGGTCCCCAACGCCACATTCCACACTCCAGTCTGGGACTATTCCACACTCACAGAGAGAAGATGAAGGATGGCTCACAGATGTTCTTCTCATTTAACCCCACTCTTACGGAATCAATTACCAGTGGGACTGTCAAACTTGTATCGAAACTAGATACTCTTTTTTTGCAAATACCGATATGAAAAAAGTCCCATTAAAGGTTGTATAGAGGATTTTCTAAGGGAAGAGAAATACAGCGACAGTCCTTTTTCAAATGTTGTGCATGTGTGACACCACCTTCCTCCTCCACAGCTCCTCAGTAGAAACATCTCCTCCCGCCTCTTTACTCTAGAAATCACGTTTGTTTACATCCACTGCATGTTCAGAAGTGACCTGTCTAGAAATAATTTAGTGACCGACGCGTCAGTTTTTAGTCCCTTCGTCTGCTTCAGTCGTGCAATCGCTGGAACAAATCTCCAAGAATCACCTCAGTTTGTCTTCGCTCCTTTTCCCCTTCTCGTCTTCTTTCAGCGACCTCAAAAACTGACATTCTTTTGCGGCAAACTGGTCGTGGATTCTCGTCCGCCATCGCAACAAACTTTGTGCAAACTGCGAGGAAGCGACAGTTTAAAAAATCCTCTAAGCATAAACCACATAATCCCCGTGCGCTAGTGAGTCAGTTACACTAGAAACCTCCTGAGTTTGATTGACAACCTAACAGCCAATAGAAAATAAGGGAGCCTTTATTGGCTGATGTTTATCTGGCCTCACTACGTCCACAGTTGATAGATTTTCATAATTATTATTTTTTGGTCATCACAATTACAAGGCTGCTGCATCTCTGTAATGGTATTTTAAACTTTCATTGACATTTTGAAACAAAAAAAAATCCTCCATACAACCTTTAACAGGACAGAGCAGAACCTTTCCTGAATGTCTTTAGAACGATCGTGAGTTGTACAGAACAAGTAAAAGAGCACATAGACTAGTACACACATGGACCATGGAGGATTACACTCATATAAGACACATGGGAATAGAAAAGAAAGTTCTACCATTTAATGTGGAAAATGATTCTATTGTCTAAAGAATGAGTGCTTTTAGTATCATTGTGGTATCGGAATCAGTTCTGAGAAACAAGTCTATTCTTTGGTATCAAAATGGAGATCTAAATGTGAGTATGGTGACTGCACTAACTGGAAGACCCTCTTCTGTGAAAGAATCCAAAGCCACGTGTCTTCAGAACTTCAACCCAAATAACGAAGTGAGATTTGAGTGCAGGTTTGTAAATGATCAGAGCTGTTTGTTCCTCTGCTCACACACTGGGCTCTGAGGTTCCTCTGTTATTCAGTCTCAGAATTCTGAATAAAAACTTAATTCTGCTTTAAAAGGTCCATTTAAGCACCACCTGAATTAAGTTGGTGGTTTATTCCAATTTTGAAGCTGGATTCTCGATGATGTAAATGTTTATTCTTGTTAAAAATAATTCCAATCGTTCAGTCACCACCAGCTCTGTCACCTTTCTGACGCGATCCCGACGATCCGGCTCCACCAGTCCTGGCTTCGGACTTTCATCCACGTCTCTTTGGATTTGTGAGCGGGATGTGGGAGTGGGCTGAGGTGGAGCTTTGTCTCACTTTGTCTTCTTCCTCCTTCTCCGACACTCTTCCCTTCTCCTCCTCAGCTGACAGATGTAAAGTGTGATGAGAGAATTCTCCAGCTGCTGCTTCGCAATTATCATAGGAGCCACTGCGGAAAAAGTTTAGATCGTGTTTGTGTCCGTGGCGTAACGACAAACCGAGATGACAGAAAAGCCGGGAGCAGTTGAAGTGTGTGTTTTCTTCCGGTCGATGTAAATACGTTGGTGTCTCTGTCCAATCAGAACCTTCCCCACCCCCAGACGTACAGCGGAATTAAATAAAGACGATTTAATGAGTTTTCCATGTAAACCTCAATTCAGAATGATTATTTTCATGTATAAATAAATAAATATTTTAATTCCAAATGATTTAATCCAGAACAATGAATTTGGAATTAAAAAACATCATGTAAAGGTGACCATAGACTGACTGTTGTGTGATTCTCAGGTGTGAGGACAGAGCAGGACCTGTACGCACGCCTCATCGACTCAGTCACCAAACAGGTGTGTGCTGCTCCTCTTCTTCCTCCTCTTCTTCTTCCTCCTCCTCTATTCCCCTGGTCTCATGCTCTTCTCTCCTCTTCTTCTCCCTTCAGCCCATCTCGTACGAGGGACAGAACAAGAACCCGGAGATGTGCCGTGTGCTGCTCACTCACGAGGTCATGTGCAGGTCAGTGGAACATGACACGAGGAACACGGAGCTCGTTCTCCTCCTCCAAATAACACGAGTGCACTTTTACAATCCTTCAGAAATGTGTTCAGATGTTCAGCTCATTGTCTTGGGTTTTCTGCATGAAAGTGTTTAAACAGCTACAGTCTGTGTGCTCGTGTGGACCGAAGAACTTCTGAATAGACTTTAAAAAGCTCTGCACGTGATCTGTCCCATCTTTAAAGCGTAGAAAACAGAACATGTTCATTTGAAACAGTTTACAGTGGTCCAAAGTTCTTCCTCACTCACCTTCTGCATTCAGCGCATCCTCATTACTCACCACGACGAGTTTATGAGTTTATACTTTCAGAGCGAAGTTTAGCCGTCACATTGAACTTAAGATAACAACAGCTCGCATGCTTAGGGTGACCAGACGTATTTATTTCCCCCGGACAGTCCCAGTTTTGAGCCTGTGTCCCGTGTCCCAGTAGATTTATACAAAACCACTGATTTGTCCCAGTTTTATACAAGAAATGTCCCAGGTGTCTCTATTTTGGACCAATTTGATCCCTGTCAGCAGTAAAGGTCATTTGTTTAGGTAAAATACAGAAAAGCTGCTTAAAAACAACCAAAACACAAAGAAAATGTGACTATACTGACTCATGTTTTATTACAATATTATTATTAACAACCACCAAAAAAACGGGGATGTCCTAGTTTTTTATTTTGAAAATCTGGTCACCTTATATTCAGGTTAAAGTGTGTTGGATGATTTTGAAGATTTTGTCATTTATATGTAATTTTGGGGGGATAAAACCTGGAGAGATGTCATGATTTCTAACAAAAAACTACAAATTTAAACCTAAAAATGTTGCCAAACTGTAATCTGAACTGTGTTTTAGTAAAATGAGTGGTCCAAGCTTGCCATAGGCTCTTTAAGGTTTAGGAACAGACACCTTAAGGTTGGGGTTTTAGGACAACTTTACTAAAACGATCTTGGTAGAACTCTGTTAGAAAATAGAAAATGATGTAATATGTGGATGCACACAGAGACCCTGAGAGCTGCTTTTATCACAGATCTGTCCTGGTGGTTCAGCTCTTCGGGGGCCAGGCTCAGGTGGTCGCATGGTCCTTTATTATAGGACGGTTGGGGGTTTGACCTCAGCTCTGACCCGTGCAAACAGTGGTTGGGTCCTGGGGTGAGGGTCTGGAGAATAAAATCCATGCGTTTGTAAATGGGACCAACAGCTGAATGTTTGCGCCGATCTCGTCACATTTATTTCTCCTGCAAAGTTCTCTTCTTTGGGTGAGTTTGGTAGAACGTGCAACAGGTTTCTCCAAACGGTGGTGCTTGTTCATGATCTGGGGCAGGGGCGGCTCCTGACAGTTGCTCCGGTGACTTTGTGAGACGGGTCAAATGCAAAGGACAGTTTTTATTAAAGGGACGTTAAACATACCTACAAACCAACATTCAGTGATGGAGGGATGATGGAGAGATGTTGGAGGGCTGATGGAGGACTGATGGAGGGATGATGGAGGGATGATGGATGAATGTTGGAGGGGTGATAGAGGACTAACGGAGGGGTGATGGAGTGATTTTTGAGGGGTGATGGAGGGCTGATGGAGGGGTGTTGGAGGGGTGATGAAAGGATGATGGAAGGATGATGGAGGGATGTTGGTGGGATGTTGAAGGGGTGATGAGAGGGGTGATGGAGGGGTGATGGAGGGATGATGGAGGGTGATGATGGAAGGGATGATGGAGGGATGATGGAGGGGTGATAGAGGTGTGATGGAGGGATGATGGAAGAATGATGGAGGACTGATGGAGGGATGATGGAGGGATGTTGGAGGAGTGATGGAGGGGTGATAGAGGGGTGATGGAGGGGTGATTGAAGGATGATGGAGGGATGATGGAGGGGTGATGGAGGGGTGATTGAAGGATGATGGAGGGATGATGGAGGGGTGATGGAAGGATGATGCAGGGCCGATGGAGGGATGATGGAGAGGTGATGGAGGGCTGATGGAGGGATGTTGGAGGGCTGATGGAGGGATGTTGGAGGGGTGACGGAGGCGTGATGGAGGGGTGATGGAGTGATTTTTGAGGGCTGATGGAGGGCTGATGGAAGGATGATGGAGGGATGATGGAGGGCTGATGGAAGGATGATGGAGAGGTGATGGAGGGCTGATGGAGGGATGTTGGAGGGGTGATGGAGGGCTGATGGAGGGATGTTGGAGGGTGATGGAGGGGTGATGGGAGGGGTGATGGGAGGGGTGACGGAGGCGTGATGGAGGGGTGATGGAGTGATTTTTGAGGGCTGATGGAGGGCTGATGGAAGGATGATGGAGGGTTGATGGAGGGATGTTGGAGGGATGTTGGAAGGATGTTGGAGGGATGACGGAGAGGGCTGACGGAGAGGTGACGGAGCGGTGACGGTGCAGAGGTCCTGAGTGACAGCAGTGACCCGGGCTCTGGGGGTTATCCTGGGGTAGACTCCGGGGGCCGTCTCCCTCGCCATTGTGCGTGGGCGCAGCAGATGCCCGAGCGGGACTCACAGCTGGCTAATAACACAGAGCCAGGCAGAGGGCACAGCTGGGGAGTGGGCCGTGGGGCGGGGGCAGGGGGGGCCGGGGGCAGGGCGGGGGGGGGGCTCCGTACAGGCCCGGCGTTGGGGCAGGAGCGGCAGATGGCCTGGGAAGGGGGCACTTTTGTTATGCAGCCGAGGGGACAGGACTGCTGACGGATGGGGTTGTACGTGAGTGTGTGTGTGTGTGCGCGAGTGTGTAGGTGTGTGTGTGTGTGTGTGTGTGTGTGTGGGGAGGGGCCAGTTTGATTTGGAAATCAATGTGACAGATTGCCGGGCGGCTTTACTCCCTCAATGGGCTCTCTCTGTTTGTCCGAGTGTTGTTGTACCTTTTCTTCTTGCGCTCCTCTTTTGTGCGGCCCCTCTCCTCGCGGGGGCCTCCTTTGTGGGGACCGGGTGCGGGGCCCGGAGCATGTGGTGGCTGCCCCTCCTGTTGACTTTTCTCTCTCTTTGTGTGCGTTTGTTCTCAGCCGCTGTTGTGAGAAGAAGAGCTGTGGCAACCGCAACGAGACGCCCTCCGACCCGGTCATCATCGACAGGTGAGCCCCGCCCACGAGCGCAGCCGGCCAATCAGCACGCACCTGTACCACCAATAAACACACACACCTGTACCACCAATAACCACATACACACACACGCACGCACCTGTTCCACCAACAGACACTATTCATGCTTACGTCACAATCCAGGAAGACATCTGGAAACATGTGATGACAACTTCCTCTGGACTCTGTTCGCAGTAATAATGTGCGTTCATTTATTTATCCGTCTTCCACTCGGATCTCAGATATGACGTCACAACCACGCTTCAACCATTTTATTATGTTTTGTGTGTCCGGCTTAGAGAAAAACATGGAAACAGAGCTTCAGCTGAGTACGAGGCCCCAAAAGTCTGTGCTTCAACCACACAACCTCCAGGAAGAATTCAGTATAAATAGTATAATTCAGTATAAATAGTATAATTCAGTATAAATAGTATAATTCAGTATAAATAGTATAATTCAGTATAATTCAGTATAAATAGTATAATTCAGTATAAATAGTATAATTCAGTATATAAGTGAAGTGAAAGTGTTGGTGTCACGTGATAGTCCATCATTTTAGCATGTTAGCTGACAGGAAAAACACGGATGACACCTACAGGCAGTGATATGGACGCAGAAAGATACTGCAGTAATCCAGGTGCAGTAAGCAGTGTTGGGGAGTAACAGATTACATGTACCAGAGTTATGTAATCAGGGTACAAATTATGAGTAACTGTATTCAGTTACAGTTTCTGTTTAAGTGAGTTGTAATCAGATTACAGTTACTTGGTTGAAATAAATGGATTACACAGAGGTATTTTACAGTTTTCACTTGTTGGACTATAATCTAAAGTCTAAAACCAGGTCTAAACCAGGTCTAAACCCAGGTCCAAACCAGGTCTAAACCAGGTCTAAACCAGGTCTAAACTATGTCTCAAACAGGATTTAACAAGACTAAACTTCTTCTGTCAATAATATTTTTATTTTGGTCAAGTAAAGTCTGGACTTTTTATTTTCTTTTATCAGATAACACATCTTATGTTACGATTTCCTCATCTTTGCTTCTCTACAGCAAATCAAGTAATCCAAAATATTCAGATTACGTTACTCACCTCAAGTAACTTAATGGATTAAGTAAATCTTTATTTATATAGCGCTTTCACAGACATTTCTGTCCCCAAAGACACTTTATTCAGCATTATTCATTCAACATTCATTCACTCTACACCTGGTGATGGTAAACTACTATTGTAGCCACAGCTGCCCTGGGGCAGACTGACAGAAGCACAGCTGCCATGCCACTCGGCGCCATCGGTCCCTCCGACCACCACCATCACTCACACCACTTTCATACTAGGCAAATTGGGCGAAGTGTCTTGCCTAAGGACACAATGACTGAATTGATTGCATTTAACTGACCTTGACTATCAACTGTTTATGGAGACCTATGCAGCATGTTTTGGGTTGATGGGGGAAACTGGAGCACCCATCCAAACACAAGGGAGAGACATACAAACTCCACACAGAAAGGCCCGGGCGACCCGGGGATCGAACCCAGAACCTTCTTGCTGTGAGGCATGAGTGCTAGCCACTCAGCCACCGTGCCGCCACATGTTACAAACTACATTTTGGGGTATGTAATCTGTAATCTGTAGGGGAATACATTTTAAAAGTCACCTTCCCAACACTGGCAGTAAGGTCCTGCAGTAATACAAGTGACTGAAACTGTCATTTCAAACACCAAAGCTCCAAACACAATGAAAACACTTCATACTAAACAGGAAACACTGAGCATCTTAGATTCTATCTCGGAAACCTTGCTCGGTCTCCTCCGAGTCCTTCTGAGTTCCGCTGTCCAAGGAAAAAGGGCGTGTTGAGCCGGAGGGATAAACGAATGCACCATTACTCTTCCAAAATCTAGAAAAAAATTAGAAAATATCCCAATTTTCTTCATCTCCATGTCATTGAAGTTCAGTGGATCAACAATTCCCACCGTATCTCAGTTTTCATCATTTCTACACTGGGTACATGTAATTAGAAGAGATGTGGCCAAATTCCAGATGATTCCAAACAGCACACACGTCTGCAGTCTTCATTTTACCACTGATCACATTTACTTCAGTGGGTTTGATCGCTTTAACTTCTTGGGTTCTTTTTAAAGACAATGCAGTAAAGTGTATTTACCTTGTTGACATGTTTCGGCTGCTGCTGCATCTTCAGAACTGTGCCCGGTGTTGGTGGTGACGTGTCGTATATCAGCTGTTGTTACTTCCTGTGGGCGTGGTCAGACCTGATGGACCTGGCAGGTCGCTCAGACTGACCACGCCTCCCGTCGCCTGGTGTTCTCTGGAGGAGGGTGTCCCAAAAATGAAAATTGCAAATCATGCAATAAATCACACATAGGGGAAAGAGACTGGACATTCCACATTCAAAAAAAGGAACACCTAAAGGAATGCGAAAAGGAAACATCAGGGAGACTCACCAGAACACAAAAAGATAAAGCAGAACAGGAAAACCTAAAATCCTCCATGTCAGACACTGTAAAAGGAACAACCACATTCTGGATTGGGACGGGGCTCGGGTCATCGGATCAGAAAACAACAAATTCAAATGCTGGATCAAGGAGGACAGTGAAATCAGGAAACGAGGCACGGACAGCGTTAACCGTGATGACGGCGCTTTCCTCCTTTCACACACCTGGGACACCCTCCTCCAGAGACACCGGGCGACGCTGATATACGACACGTCATGCAGCAGCAGCAGAAACATGTCAACAAGGTAAACACACTTTACTGTTTTGTCTTTAAAAAGAACCCAAGAAGTTAAAGTATATAAGAAGACAAAGTGAACATCTGGTTTGATCACAGTCGGTTGAACTACACCAGAAGTTTCATTGCAACTTTCCGAACATCTTCCTGATTTGTGACGTAAGAGGCTATACACACACACACATACACACACGTATCGACCAATCAGCACGCACACACACAGCTCAAAGTCATAATGACGTCTCTTATGATGCGCTGGGACACATGGGCGAAGAGCTTTTCAACTGGAAGAACTGCTGAGTCTAGTTACGGCTTGGATCTAGTTGGACCTATGGCTTGTTCTGTTTAAGTTCTGGTTGGTGTCAGTTTGGTCCGGGGTTTGACCTGCGCAGTTCGGTCCTGATTATCATGTTGTTGAAAACGAGTCTCCGATCTTTTTCCTTCATTGAGCTACTCGGTAACACTTTATAATAACTACACCTTATTTAGCCTTAATAAAGCATGAATAAAGACTTAATTAATAACAACCAAAGACTTAACTAATAATGATTCACGCTTAGTAAATGTTTAATAAATCATAATTAGTCTTCACTTTAGAAAAGCTCTCAGAAAGACTTAACTAACAGATAACAGTTGCCTGAATGATCATTGTATTACATTTTTAGTAAATCATTCTCTCATAGTTTACTAATGATTAATAAATGCTCAAATGGTTAGTTCATGAGTAATTAAGTATGAAATAATTATGAGTAACTATTTACAGCACAGGCAAATTAAGTGCAAGTGCTAATTAAGGTAGTAATTAAGCATTTACTAAGCGTGAATCATTATTAATTAAGTCTTTGTTCATGCTTTATTAAGGCTAAATAAGGTGTAGTTATTATAAAGTGTTACCAGCTACTTTTACAAAACAAAAATGCCACAGAGTTACTTGTTTTAGCATTCACAAGAAACTGAGTAAATATAAGAGCTTGATGACTATAAAAATATAAACCATTATCCATTTATTAGTGCACAAAGTTCGGCATCAAAGGGATACATGGACAATGGTATTTTTTTTCCATACGTCAACAAAATGTGGAATCAGTCAGTTTATGAAAAAGCCGTCTGATAGAACGTTTCCTCAGAGCGCTCCTCTCCTCTCCACAAAGCTCTGGTCCTTCACACGTCGCGGTGTTTTGTCTTGTTCAGAATCCTTTGTAGTTTTTCAGATCAGTTTTCCAAAGTCCGTCCGTCCGAACAGCTGCGTTTCTCTTTTGAATCCCGGTTCTTCACCTAAACCCGGTCTGAGCTCTGTGTGGAGGAGGAGAGGAGCCAGAAGAGGAACCAGAAGAGCCAGTCACAGTTTGATGCCTATAAAAATATAAACCATTATTAATTTATTAGTGCACAAAGTTAGGCATCTGGTAGCTCCTGAGCTACAGGCTGGAGACCGCTGTCGTAGAAATACAATATTTTATAGGATGTTGAATCTGAGTCTTGTTCTGGTCTTTGCATCGCGTCCCTGCAGGTTGGTTTTAGTTTAGACGTGATTTTTGCTACGAAAATGAACTTTGTAAAGAAATAAATCTGTATCTTCAGCACAACTCAGACTCTGCTCTTCATGGGGCAACTTTCCTCATAAGTGCCGTGTAACGCGTTGGCTCTGCTCTGTGTGAGTTACACCTGCCCTTTGCTCCTGTCTGCTCCTGTCTGCTCCTGCCTTCTGCTCCTGTCTGCTCCTGCCCTTTGCTCCTGTCTGCTCCTGTCTGTTCCTGTCTGCTCCTGCCCTCTGCTCCTGTCCGCTCCTGTCTGCTCCTGCCCTTTGCTCCTGTCTGCTCCTGTCTGTTCCTGTCTGCTCCTGCCCTTTGCTCTGTCTGCTCCTGCCTTTTGCTCCTGTCTGCTCCTGCCTTTTGCTCCTGTCTGCTCCTGCCTTTTGCTCCTGTCTGCTCCTGCCCTTTGCTCCTGTCTGCTCCTGCCCTCTGCTCCTGTCTGCTCCTACCTGCTCCTACTTGTTTCTGCTTTGTCCTACCTACTCCTGTCTTCTTCTCTCTGCTCCTGTCTCTGTCTCTCTGCTCCTGTCTCCTTCTCGCCACCCCTGCCCGCCCCTGCCTGCCCCTGCCCGCCCCTGCCTGCCCCTGCCCGCCCCTGCCTGCTCCTGTCGTCGTTCCGGGGCTCACATGTGCTAAGCGTTGTGCTGACAGACTGTGCTGCTGCTGTAATGGTTCTGTGTGAGGGCCAGCACGTTGGGGCCGTTTATCATGTCCA